AAGCTGCGCCAGAATCTAGAGGAGTTGTAGGATTTCATCAGTGATCTAATACACCCTATTAGGAGTATTCAAGATAGCTTAAATCGTTGCAATGTTGCTGAAGGGGGGTCGCAGTTTGCCATTTCGAGATGACAAAATATGTGGGAGAGGAGGTTATACTACTTCCGTGGTCGATTTAATTCGGAGGACGAAGTACCGTCCTAAGAATGGTACAAATATTAAGAAAGTCCCAAATAGAAAATAAACGACTAAATATCAAAGAGTGCATCTGCATCCCTCTTGTCATAATTTTCCAGAAGCTACCATTCGGAAGTTTCTTTTTATTTTGGCCCGTTCGCTTCCTCAGCTGCAGGTTCATTCGTGATTGATTTGACACGCTGAGACCCATTACCACATATCCGTATAATGTCTATTCATATATTAAATATTTTATTTAGTCCGATAAAATGCAATATACAGAGACAATGAGGTCTAAATTTTGCTGGGGATGTTCGAAAGCAATCGTCAATTTAGACATTGACATATAACAGATACGTAATTATTCTCTGTATGGGTCATTCAATCTAGGAATGACACTTTTTGTTGCTATGACGCAGCCCTAATGTTCTGCTAGTGATGCAATGTAAGCAGTAGGACCACAGACACACTCGTGAATATACAGCGTACTACTCTTCGTGATCCGCGGAATCAGAGGATTTCGAAGAAGAATCCTGAGTCGATTATGAGTCTGTCGTCAGAAGTTAGCAATACATACAGGTAAAGGGGTGGGCTGGAAGAAAACAATGAGTATGCTATGGTCACCATAGGAAGTGTTTCTCTCTGAGGAAATAAATTAACATGTTTCTTTTCTGAGCAGGTATGCATCCGCCTGCAATTAACACGTGTGTAGCCATAGGAGCGCATATTTGTGTCCACCCTGGGGGGGACGTTGTGTGAGAGGCGTGCCTTGTTTCCTCATCTTCCTCTGTTGACGGGTGTTGATCATTTTATTGTGTTTTCTTTTTTTCTTCATACTCATTTTAATTTGTTCGCAGTATGGATTAAGAGGATAATTTTCCGCTAGGCACATTCCTCCTCTTAAGATGTGCTTTGGGGGTTCCTTTCCTGACACTTTAACCTTCACGTAAAAATGCGGAATGTCAAGAAGGAATAAGGCCTGTTTGAGGATGCGACAGCGATGTGGCAACAGCGTGCCACTAACGCCTTTATTGCTTGGTCTATTATTTCTATGCTTCCCACCTCACATTCTGTACAAGAGGCATAGGACTTCAGAAAAATTTACAGTTATCTCTTGTGACAGGTTTGCACATGCTTCCCTTTCATATTTTTATCAATAGGTGGAGGTAAAAGAGGGCATAGTAAAGACACCCTAAAGTGATGAATCACGAACGCATCCGAAATCCCTGAAGAAGACACGAACGAGAAAGACACAGCTAGACTACTGAATTATCACTTCTAAATGTTAATCAGGGCTGGATGATAGTATTAATGTTTATTCAAGTCGACCTGATAAGTCATAAGGTTGGCGATGCCTCTGCCCTGTAGTAAACCAGGTTTTATACAGTACCATAGACAGATAGAAGTGAATTCTCAGTTTCTGCAATTAAGCATCCCTTGGTGTGTAGCTTTTGGGGGCACTCAGTATATTTTCCTTAAGTGACGCAGTGTATGTGGGGGAAGAGAGTTTTCATTTAATGTTTCCTTGCTCTATTCCTATATCCTCCTGAGTATCTCGTCCTGATATAGCAATAGATTCCGATAACACGGACTCATTCAACCGAAGAAGACAAGCCTACATATCTATTAATAGTTCAAGTGAATTATTTTTTCACAGTAATAGAACGGGCACCACCAATGACATACGGGTAACGAGGTGTGACAGCATCAAGGGGGGTGTAATTGGAACTCCGAGAAAAGCGTCATCACATTTCTAAAGTATAAATGTATTTGTCTTTGTGCACGCCGCATATTATAAACAGAAGACACAACACAGATTACACCAGTAAGGTTCCTCCAGTCTTCCTGAATTCCTGTTAATGTCTCATCACGAATGAAGCAGTCTATTTTACTTCCCAGATGGGCTGTACGCTTAAATGAGAGGATAAGATATTTCGCTTAATTGGGATGTATACCTTTGAGAGATGTAATTACATCCCTATTGTGATATATATTTTTAGGGGTGAATGATGAAACCAAGTCGCCTGAATTTTCTTTGCGGTCTTTCAAATATCAATGGATTAGCATGCTTCCACCCCCGAATTATGTTTGAAGGGCAGTGACATTTGGCGCGTACTATGAATGAATATTACATGAAGAGCGAAAACCCTTAGGTTGCAGAAGTGGATTCTCCTAGTTTACTGCACCGCGATGAATATATAGAGTGCTCATTCGTGAACAATGAGGAGCGTAGAATCTAATAGACAATCAACAAGCCGGAACTCTTATGAGAAAGTATCCACCCTTCAAAATAGATTCTGAAGCAGTAACATGGAGAAGGTTTCTTTAATTAAAGATTATAAAGAAAAAAAAAAAAGAAAAGAAAAGGATAAAAAAAAGGCAGAAACAAAAAAAAGAAGAAAAAAAAAAGAAAGAAAAAAGAAAAAAAAAAGGGAAAAGAAAGAAGAAAATTTTTTTTACACATATGACCACATTTTCCTTTTTTTCACAAAACTACGTTTTGTTTAAGATTGTGCAGCAGGGGGGGGGGGATAAAAAGCCTTATAAAAAACCTGCTACACTCCCTTTTAGCAATTTGGGTGAAACCAAATTAGTAGTCGTCACTGTCTTCATCTTCCTCCTCGTTCTGTTGATTTTCATCATCATTTTCAGCGTAGAAGCTGTTTGAATCTCCGCGCTCATTTTCTTCGGCCTTTGCGTTATTTTCGTTATTCTCGCCGTCTTCGCCATTGTCGTCATTCTCGATATTTCTATTATTTGCCTCTTCCTTCTCTCTTGCCTCTTCGGATTCTTCGACAACTCTTTGGGCCGCTTCCTTACTCTCAAATCCAACCCAGGCCCATCCGTCATCATTAGCTCCAGGTTCGTAGAAGTAAACTTGCATGGCTCCGTACTGCTCAAGGGAGTTTTTAAACTGATCCATGGTGACGCCTGTTTTTATGTTCTTTATAAAAACCCTCGTGTCAGCTGCAGTTAGGGTTATGTCATGTTGAGCCTTGGTCAGGAAGGTGTTGATGGTGGAGGGTCTTTGGGTTGCCTGGACCCCGCAGAGGTGTGTAAAGGCCATTTTTTATCAACGAAAGGCGGGAAAAAAAAGGAAAAACTCGAGCGACAAATGGATAGAAGAACGAAACTGAGATGTGCGCCCACTGCGTTTGGAGTTAAATGGAGTAAGGTCAAATAAAAATGATAAGAGTTCACTTGGAGAAATTCGCTTGGGTGAAACAATTAACTTGCAGTCACGTAAGGTCGCGTTCGAACTTTGTCAAATATTTTTCCAAATCAAAAGACAATTTAATAGTGCTAATTATGTGTGAGTGTTAAGGGGGCAATTTTTTTATGAAAGAAATCAAATTATGTTAAAAGGTGAGAACTGCGTAGAGAAAAAATAAATAACAAAATGAAACAAAAAAAAAGAAGCATAACGGAACAGAACAAAAAAGAAAAAAGTGGTGAAACGAAAAAATAGAAAATTTATAAACACACACGCGTTTACACTTGTGTACAGTTGCGAACTGTTTGGTACAGTTCTGTAAAATTAATTTAACAATTTTGCAGAATAGATGGAATTAATTTGCTGACTTTTCCTCACCACAACGATTGACTGAAAATGGCTGTTTTGCTGGCCGCAACTTTCACGTTTGTTTTTTTTTTTTTTTTCCATTTTGGCTTTTTGACTGCCACGGCATCTTTGCCCGTCTTGGCTGTTTTGACCGCGTCGGTTGCTTCGCCTGCGCGGCTGTTTTTCTTCTTTTACCCTTTTTTTTTTGTGTATATAAAAAAAAATTTTTTCATTAATACAGCCAATTTTTTAATCTGTTAAAGCTCCGTTTTTTACTATGTATCTGTGTACACACGGAAAGGAAAAAATTGAATGAAACTTCTTTATGGTTACTCGTTTTATCCCTCCTTTTCCAATACGCCCTCTTTTGCGTGTTAAATGTGTACATAACTGTCAAGGGTGGCAACTCCCCGTTCGAGGTGAAAAGAAAGTTGGAAAAAAAAAACGTCCTGTGCACACTTAGTTCGATCCCCTAATGTGTGCACTATCTGTAAAGCTACGCCATGTGGAATTACCTACAAATTATACCCTGCAACACACAGCTAGCCAAATGTTGTGGTAAAAAAAAAAAAAAAAGAAAACAAGCTATTTATCCACAACGGCATGTTAAATTCCCCCCTTATGCAGCACTTTTTTTTCCACACAGGTTAAAAATGTTACATGTTTCTTCTTAAGGTAAAGCGAGTTCATTCCTTTTGCCATCAATTCGGGAAAGCTTTCACATGGCAGAACACGAAAAAATAAATTAAAAAGGGATGAAAATGATCCCCACGGGCTATAACGAGTTGCTAAAAAGGCTTGAGAAAGAAATAGTAAAAAAACATAAGCGCTTACATAAACTTCTTAATATGCGCAATATTTTACAAAAAGGGATCTATTTCCTCAAGAAAATTTGCGTAAAATGGATTAACTAATCAATCATATAACCAGTCTCAAATTCTTTCTCATAATATTTTATAAGTACATCATTTGGGGGTGTAATCTAAAAACGGGTACATTCATCTTGCACATATGCACGTTCATGTATTGGTACGATTAATGGATGAACAAATAGGGGGGACAATTCCTCTTCAATTCGCAAAATTGATGACAACTGTAAGCTAGTTTAAAAGGTGTGGGGTGGCTCACATGTCGGCCATTTCGCTATAAAATTTTCCCCTAAGGACAATTTATAATGCTAAGATGGGCCTGCCACATCTTCACGCATACTACTCTTTGGTTAACTATAGGTTTTCAAAAATGCTTACTCCCTAAAGATTCTTCATTTTATAATCTTCTTAATTTGCGACAATTCAGTTACCTCCTGCTGACTCATGTCCTTGTACTGCCTCAGAATCGACTCGATAATGTGCCTTAACTGGTATTCTAAGGTTCTAAAAAAAAAAAAAAAAGAAGAAAAATAATGAAATATATTTACAAGTCTGCTGGCCCATTTTGCATTTTCAAATTTTCCAAACGGAAAAAAGCACTGGTTTTACCCTGTGTTCTCCTCGACGTAATGCGCCTTGATAACATGATACAAGAATTTGACGGCGGCTACTTGTTTGGAAATCAGCTTGTCAACTACATCTTTGATGGTGCACTTTTGTGCTATACTCTGCATGGGGGTGGGTGCGAAAAAAAAAAAAAAAAGGCGATGTCGGGGTGGCTGTTTAGGGGGCAAAAAAAAGGGGAGAATACATATGCACACGTATGTACACAGGTGTATACGCTGACGCCGATTTTCGGAGGCGCCGCGTCGCCCAAGCATACCTCTAAGGAGCGTATCTCCTTAACTTTTGCCTCGTACGACTCAACGAATCTGCCCTTTACAAAGAGAAGAAAAGAAAAGGCGTTCCAGTAGGAGTCACACTCAGAAATGTAAGCCGATATGGTGCCCATGGTTGTAACAACTTTGTCCAGATAACTCAATCCATTTTTATTCGGAATTAGGGTCGGTTTGTCATTTACAATAAGATCAGAGATGTATTCATAGATCCAAGGCTGTATCTGTTTGACTTGATTCTTTTGACATAAAGTGATCATTGCCAAGCAGAAACTATCGACGTCATTTTGCATAATGGACAATTTAAGATATGTATCCCAATATTTCCACTCATTATTGTCAACCTTGACAGCTTGATTTATACAGATCTTTGCAGCTTTGTATATTCCTTTTTTCAAATACAGGTAGGCCAAATTTCCATAAGCCTTTGCAGAATCTTCATTCGTCATGCTGACCATACGTGTGAATGCTTTTACAGATTCATCGATTTTTTCCATTTTCATGTACGAGCAACCTAGGATAAACCATATGTCTGGAAAAAGGGGAGATATTTCTAGAGCCTTTTCTAAATATTCACAACACGGCATGTACATTTCCTTACGGTAGTAAAAATTCCCAATAAATCTGGCCGCTTTCGCATATTTACAATTTGACAGCTTCCATGCCTCTATGTAATAATTCAAGGCATTACTCCTGTCAACCAATCCGTATAAACATAACAAAGCGGGAGTTCTTTTTCTTTGTAGGAGATGATCTAGCAACTCTTTTGCTTCTTCTTTTCTATCTGCTTGAATCAAACAGGTGATGGCTTCTTCCCATAATTTCAAATCCTTAAAAAGGTTGAAAGCGGACACTACGGATCCCGTTTTCACCATAACATTTCCTATTTCTCTCTTCAGTTCCCAAGTGGTTGGATAGTACACATCGAAAAGGAATTTTACCCTTTCTCCCCCGTGTGGTTCCATATTGTATGTCTCTTTCAGTAACTCATTTAGCTGTGCAGCAGCCCTATCTACGGTCTTCAATCGAAACGTTTCACATTTGCACTTATACCATAGAATACACGAGTGCAGTAGCCAATTCTGATATTTTATCTGTAACAAATTGTTGTTTCTAGTTGTTATCCCATTTTGGTCCTCCTCCCTCGATTCCACATGTACATCATAGCATTTGAGGCACCTAGATATAACTGCACTTAACTTCTCGAATTTTATTTCGTCGTAGTGTGGATTGAATCTAATCATGGAATAGCAGAAGTTGATCAAGGTTATCTGTTCATCGAATGTTAATATTTTAAAATAGTTATTTTGTGAATCCATAAAGTATGGTTCTTCTAATATGTCTGTATCTGGGTCGAGGTCTTTTAATTTCCACAGTACTTTTCCGTTTGGATTTGTTTTACTCGGTTGGTCACTATTTGGTGAGCACTCATCTGTGTCAATGTTGCTGAGCGTTTTGCCTCCTGTGGAGGTGCACCCTTCGGGGGAATTTTCTTCCCCCATGCGACTGGCATAATGAGGAATCAACTTCAAGCCCTTTTGGTCAATCTCTTCCCCATTTTGTGCTTCCCTTTTTTTGGAAGTCATTTTATTTATATGTTCTCCCCCTAAATTTTCTACTTCTGGGCTTATTTCATCCACTTCTTTTCCGCCAATGTAGCAGTTTCCTTGCCCCCCGCGCTCCTCCATAGTCACCTTCTGCGAAGTGGCTAAACTGAATGGAGCTGCCTCACCTGCGTCGTCTTCCCTATTTTCACTCTCCTCCTTATGCGGATCCCCACGCTTGGTATCTCTATACCTACGAAGCGCTTCTCCTCCCTTCTCATGATCAATAATTCGGTAGTCACTCCTCAATATGTCGTACTCACTGAGAGGCTCTATTTCTTTCAAAATTACAGACGTATTGTCCTCCTCCTGTCCCCTCTTCGCCTTCAACACTAAAATGGTGGCAGGTATCTTCTGGTACTTTCTCTTTATTCCCATTCTTCCAGTGAAGGAATAGCTAAACTGACTCATCTCCGCAAGAACGTCGAGTACCCTCTGGTAGGCATAAGTATAATTGTAGAAGGCCAAGTATATGGAAAAGTTAGATAATGCACAAATTTGAAAATTTTGCGACATGTAATTTTCACAAAAGAGGTCGCAATTTTGCAAGTCCTTTTCATTTTGTCTCAAATGGGCAAAAATTTCTGGGACTTGTCCAATGACATTTATTTCTTGATCAATTAGTTCAAAATCGCTGGTCAGTAGTTTCACGTTTTTAAATATCCTAAGTGGAATGTCCACTACGTGGATTTTCAAGGAATAAAACCAGTCGTTACTAGATGAAGGAAACAGTCTCTGCCATATGAAGTAGATTCTGGCTTTCCACAAATATTTGCTTCTAACAAAATGTAAGAGCTTCGTCTCATTGTATTGTTTTTTTTTCTCTTCTTTTTGGTTCACCCCGACTGGCTGTTCCTTCTCAGGCACACACGTGATTTGCGGCGTGGAAGTATTGCCATCTTCAGACTTTTTGCCCCCCCTGTTCGGTGTCCCCTCCTCGAAATAGCAGTACTCATTTGAGCACATAATCGGCTGATCGGTCTGATTAAAATTGTTCACTAGGTCTAGCAAAATTACGGATAAACAGAAGGCATTCATCACTTCACAGTGGGCATATGTAGTCTCCCCCTCAAGCGATAAAAATTCCAAACATGAATTTAAAAACTCTTCATTTTTTACTTTCATCGTTTGGATGAATTTGCAGAAATGATTGTCTTCGTGGCATCCATGTGATGTTTGCACTTTCTCCTTTTCGCTGTCCCTCGTGGTGGGTGGAGGCCCTGTCCAGTTGTATTGCAAGAACATATTCAGAAATGCGTAGCAGCAGAGGAGAATCTTTATTTCGTGAAGGAACGTAAAGCAAACCTGAAAAAAAAAACCTTTATTGGCATTCGGGTTTTCCCTTTGTTCCTCCGTCTTGGGGCGCCATCTACTCTTTATATCTACCTTTTCGCAAGAAACATAACAGAATAATTCCTTCTTCACCAGGCTAATACTGTTGGTGCTGTCACTTTTAAGCGTATCAAAGATGAACTGAAATATGTCTCGTGCCCATGGGTCAACGATGCACTCCTTATGGTTCCCTGCTTTAATCAACTTTAAAAAGTGGAACAAGTTTCTAACTTGAGATGTCAACTCTTCCGTTTCACAGTCTACTCCACTCGTTTTTGTTGGCGCTTTTTCCGCATGGCTCCTACACAAATTGACCAGTTTTGCCGTTATCTCTGTCTCTTCTTTTTCGTAAAATGCATCATTTTCTGGGCTCAGGTAAATCAGCTCTTCTACAGACCACAAGATGGATTTCAATTCTTCCATTGGGGGAAAGAAGTCTATGGAACTTTTTCTTTTTAAATTGGCAGCCAAAAATAAAGTAACCTAGCCAGAAGGCTACTTTCAAAAATGGGAAAATATCCTCCAAAGGGGAAGAATCATTGGAAAAGTGAGTCCAATTTTAACTGGGGCTTGGCCTACAAAAGAATGCCTCCTGTTGTGCTAGGCGTTTGCGGAACTGGTGGAAGAGGCGAACGTTTTTTTTTTTTCAAGATGGGACAGTTCGCAGCTTTTTACTTGTCCGTTCCACTTTCTCGCGATAAGAATGTTGGCAAGTTTGGTATGCCATCGCGGTTGCGAAATGGGGGGTAAGAAATTTTTCTCTATGTTTTTCTTCTATTCTTTTTTTTTTTTTTATTTTTTCCTTCTATTTTTTTTTTCCTCTTCTTTTCCTTTTTATTTCTCCCCTTCTGATGCGCCATTCCCTCTGCAATTTGGAACCGCTCAGCTGTGTTTGCTGTCACCTTGGAGTCGCAGGGCCGGGGTGTCATTCTGACGTGGTTGATTTGCTTCATGACTTGATTTTATCCCCTTCTACAAATCTTCCATTTGTCAGATTATTCCTCGCGTGGGGTAACCCCATATGGGTTTTCACCATTCACGCAAGCTCCCAGGGAATAAGAAAACGATTTCATCGAGATGTTCTACTGTTTATGTGTGGTTCACATTCTCCAAATGCTTACCTCTGCGCATGCCTTCACAATTAAAGGGTGGGAAGTGCGTTAGCGCTAAGATTTTGCGGCCCCTATTTTTGCGGCCCCATTTTGCCGCATTGCTTATACTACGCTCTGGCATGTGTTAAACAGGCGAAGAGGTGAATTAAAAAAAATACATTTTCACTTGCCCAGTTCGAAGAAGCACAGAAGAGGTTTCATCCATACATTCACCCTTCTACCAGGCCATATGTAGCTCGGTTATAGTACAGCGAATGAGTAAAGGGAACCGGCGAAGTGGTGATTTCCCCCCGTTTTCAGGGAACGCTTTGTGCCGGTGGGCTCCTTACAAAGCTGTACCGCTATTCATAATGGGCAGTTCACACTTCTATAAGTAATAGGAGGTGAATGTTTGGGACTATTAAATTAGCCCGCACCACCACCTGCACACACAAACAATACCGCTCCTAAACGTGCATATATGGATCTACATATATTTTTATACTCTGACACATCAACACGTTTACGCTACGTGGGGACCGACTGAGCAATGCCATGGTCATAACTGAGGGTGATGAATGACCTAATTGCAGAGTACGCGAACAGGGAGGGGGAGAGCGAACGTTCCAGAGAGATGCACATCTTTTTCTATCCTTGCTGATGCTGCAAATGAACACGGAAGAGAGACTCATCAGTTAAATACACACAGAGGCGAGGACATCCCTGGTGTGTAACCTGGACTGTCTATCGGCTCGGAACAGCTGCACAACACATATCCAAATGGTAACTCCTACAGCAGAAATTTAATGAGAGTGGCCCCATTTTTTCGCCCTTTTTTTTGAAAGGAGAACTTCCCTCCCCCTTCAAAAAATGAACATCCTCAGTAGAGCGTTTAAACGAAATAACCTCCACGTAGTACTAGCACCAAAGGATCACCATGTACCCTTCATTAGATGCGCAAAACGATATGAATCCAGGGTGAAGGCCCACAGATATACAGGCATAACTTCGATAAAGACGCATGCCCAGAAAACGGAGTGGTATTTAAAAGCGGAAAGAGATTTCCTGGCGGAACGGAATCATATACCAAACGGGTTCATAGGCCTATGGCAATACGATGACATAAAGCACCTAAGAAAAAATATCATAAATATGCTACATCTCAATTGTGCCAACAGCAAACAATTACATAAATATAGAAAGTTGTGTATAAGACGATATCTCCAGAGAAGACCATTCGATACTGGAAGCGCACCTGTTCAAATTGGATGCTTAACGGAAAAGATCCTAAATTTAAGGGCTCACTTAATTCTCAGATGTAAGGATCATCCGAAAAAAAGAACCATGTCCATTTGGCTAGCTAGAAGACAAAAATTGATGAAGTACCTATACAAAACAGATTTCGAATTATACAAACATACATGCAATTTGCTAAAAATTAAATGTATATTATTTGCCATCCCAGATTCAAGAGATCGATCCAAAGCCATCAATGCCGCTGCTGTGGATGGAGACCGATGTAAATTTCTAATTAGGCAGAAATTATGGAAAGGAAAATATAGACCCAGACCTATGAAAGATCCCAAAGGACAAACCATTAGATACACCAGACATCCCATAGAGCAACCTCCATCCGATTATGCACTTCCCAAGGAGTATAAACCGCAGTTTTCAAATTCGTGGCCCTATGGAGTTAAGGAAAATTATCAAAAAGGGATCTACACTGTGTATAATCCTACGGCCCCTGGGTTGGGTTACTGTCCCGTCCCTATGCTGTTTTAGCGGCGTAGCAAGTATGGGTAGCACACTTTGCATAGCTACGCTCTTTGAGCGGTCACTTGCATTCTGTGCACCGTTAACAGATGTGCTCCTCAAGAACTGCTTGCAAACTTTTTTTTTTTAAAAACAAAATGGTTTATATGTTCATGTGACTTGTGAGCAAAGTGCTCTCTATACACCTCTCAATTGTTCCTTTTTTTTTTTCTCTCCGGATTGGTGTAAATAAAGAAGTTTCTTCTTAGCGCTGGCCTATCGGCGCAACTTCTTCTCGGACAAAAAAAAGGCAAAAAATGAAAGCAAACAAAATGGAAGCAACCAAAATGAAAAGAATGGGCTAGCGGAATAGCAGAGTGGCGGAGTAGCGCAATGTGGCAGCGACTAAGCGGCACTTGCGCAATGCGGTTTTAGCAATTCCGCGACAATTCCGCCCCACTTATCCCCCAACCAGTGCGACTCCTTCTCTTCATTTAGTCACCAGGGGCTTATCCACGTGGTACATGTTGTGCACCACCGTTTGTCTCCTCAGCATGTTAAGATATTCCCGGCAGTCGTTCTCAAACGCCTTCAGTTTTTCATCGCTGTGGTTCACATGGTTGCTGCTAAAAAATTCTCGGAAGGTATCCTTGGCCTGTGGAAAGAGAAGAAATATATGTTAGAGGTCAGGCATCTATCTTCTTCTTTGCAAATTTATCTGCAGCTGGAGTGTACGCTGCTTCCCTTCCAAAGAAAATAGTGACCCATTTTGTGGGGAAATTTTGTTATGCGCTATTAACCTTGTTCGTGAAGTAGACACTGTAGTTTATGTTTTCAAATTTGGAAGCTTCACTTAGGATGTGACGATAAAGAACTTTCATATTTTTTAGGTTATTCATCTTCATCATCCTTGAGCGCGTAAAAGTTCCTACACACATGCGCATACATATAGATGCGTGTGCGCTTCAAAATTTGGGAATGGCTAACTTGTTTGAAATATCCCCCCAGGAGTATCGCGCCTCTTTATGTGATTTTTACAACACAGACGAGGTTCTTTTTATTTCCCCACGCCCCCCCTGTCGCGGAGGTCTCTGCCTTCAGTGTGTTGAATGGCTATCTTGAGCCAAACGTAGCTTCACTTCTGCAGGAGCTTCGATTCATTTGTGGATGGCTCCCGTTTGGCTGCCACAAAATTAATTTCGGCTTCCTTGCGTGACCATCCTTTGTAATTTTCATAAAACAGCACAGTCTCGCCGGGCCATCACTGGTCGCATAAACGGTCACAACGTCTTAGGTTTTTTTTTTTTTTTTGCTTCACTTTGCTATGCCGCGTTTTCCTTTGTTATGTTGTTGTTGTGCCATTTTGTTATTTTATTTTTCCATTTTGCTACTTTATTATTTTTTCTTTTTTTTCCATATTGTTATATTATTTTTTCTTTTTTTTCCATATTGTTATATTATTTTTTCCTTTTTTTTTTCCGTTGCGCCCATTTTGCAACAATTTGTGCGTGCCCGAAAACTTTGGTACCCGCCTCCGAAATTTCGAAGCGTCCACAAAATGGGTACATTTAAGGAGGAAACGTGGCTCCCGTGCAGAATAGGAAAATTTACTCATTATGCCTTATGTGACGGTATTTTGAGGCATCGCATTTTTAATTGCGATGCCTAACCCCCATGGTAGCCATATGTACCCAATGGGAAAATGAAAGTCCGCAATTTGACCCGGTGCCACTCTGTACATACTGAAAGGAATGATAGCAGCGCCGTCATTCTTAAAACAGTGTGAAAAAGATCAAAGCTTCTTCCTTACGCGAAAGGTTAGACTTTTTTTTTTAAATGAGGACTTAAACCATACAATTTGAAATTTTTCTTTGGCCACTCGTACGTAGATGTGACAGGTTATCCGGTTTACCCAACTGTGTAGGGAACATATGTAACCACCACTTTCTGATTAACTGTTGGGGGAAAGTAATACGCCAAAAATGGTGAAGTAAAATGGCACACAAAAGGAATGGCGACAGGGTACAGTGCATAAAATTAATCTCCCGTTGCACCCGTCCCCCCACTCACCATGATTGCCCCCCTGTATCGGCGGCGAGACCCCCACACTCTTATATGTCCGCGATACGAAATAAAGCAAAATGAAACAATAAATGAGTGAAAAAAGGAAGAGACAGAATAATCGCACATATATATTTTTTTCTCTTATTACATCCTATATGCTTTTATCTTTATAGTTTTTTCACCATCCCACATACTTCAAATGTGTATAGGGACAAATGCCGCGCTAACCTCTCAGCGATGCTTATTGCAGACATCCCAATTGCGATAAGGTTGGATGGCCTACATACATGTCTGTATTTTTGTTTGCTTATTGCAAAAAGGGAAAAATGCTAATTTTGTGTATAATGAGATATGGGCATACAACGCTACATCCATGTGTGTGCGTCTGGGAAAACTCACATATGTATTATACCCATTGAGACCTCCTCATTTTTTCATTTTAAGACTTTCAAAGGACGGGATGTGGAGTCCAATCGGTACTGCCGCTTAAAGGGGCGGAGCGATACCCTTACACTT